CAAAATTTCATTGGCTTTTCTAAAAGTTCTTTTTTTTTGCGACCAGAACTTTTTTTTTTTATCTGCCTTTCTTTGTTATGCAAGTTTGCTTCTGGTAACAGAGTTTAAACATCTGTCACCCTGAGGGAGAAAAAAAAATCAAACCGCAGTTATCAGTGTGGGACATTCAGCATAGTGTTGCATGAGTGTTGCCCACCCACCCCCACTCTGCACTGTGGTCAACGCTGTGGAAGGCTCAAATAATCCCTTATTTGGTGCACAGACTTTGTTGTAGTCTTTTAAGTATTTAAGTAATCTTTTAAAGTATTTTTGACTGCTTTTGTTTGTTACGTTACTTAACTGAATGTATGTTGTTACTGTTGTTCTTTTAGCTGCCCCCTTATACAGGGGTCACCACAGTGAGTGCATACTGCATGAAGAAGTAACAGTTGTTTGATGCTGGTTGCCCTTTAGCCTCGGGATTATAAACCCTGTGCCCCAACTTAACAAAATGTTACAGATATTTAATGGCTCCTAAAMTGAAGGAATGAACCAGTTTTGTGTCAACACAGAACAAACAACCATGTATTACTTTGTTACCAAAAACCTGTCACAAAGGCATAAAACTGCTCCCCTTGCATATAGAAAAAAATACACAAGATATTACATTTTAGCACCATAAAATCCTATTTTAACATCACCAAGATGTATGATGTGTCTCTCTGTGTCAGGTGTTTGCCCAATCAGGGTTTTTTCTTTGTTTCTCTAAAAACACAACTTTGACGTGGCTCCACTTAGTTGAGTAAATGTAAAGAGATTTAGTTTTGTAAATCTCATTATATTTACTTAATTTGACTGAGTGGAACCACTTGACATACTGTAATTTGGTTAAGTAAATCCTACAAATCATATTTTTGAGTGCTGTTTTGGTTGGAGTCAAAAAGCAGCCAAAATAAAACCTACCCCCCGCCCCCCCCCAAAAGAAGTAATGCTAAAACAATTTAAAAGACATATGAAAAATCAGGTTTAAAACCTTTGCACCAGTGTATTTTATATACATTTTCTTAAATTCAGAGCCATTTATTCTCTTCCTTGCTGCAGCACATCGAAATCATTGAAATTTCACAGGAACGAGTTTCGCCGGTCACTTGGCTGGAGGAGGGAAAGCGACTGTCGCCTGATGCACAAGGTCCACAGGAAATGAAAGGAGAGGAAGTGCTTATCTCCCGTGTGTGAAGCCCATAAGACGGGTGACAAGGAGGAATGATCCACTTTTAACAAGAAGAAACCTCCAGCAGAACCAGATACCGATAAACACAAAAGCAGTTGGCAGTGAGAGAATAAAGAAAATTTCAAGTTTGTTGTTGTAATGATGAAGGTGGACATCAAGAGTAAAGAGAACAGTGCTGAACTATAACGTTTGATAAACAGTCTGACATGAAGGAGTGGAGGATGGTGCTGCAGCAGCTTTTAGTCAATAATCTATAATTAATTTTATTCTGAGCAGAAAGTCTGAATCTAGAGCCTTCCAGCTGTGTAAACAGCACGCAAAGTTCACACAGGCCACGAGGGCCCAGAATCTTCTGTTTACAGTGATAAAGGTGCATTGAWGTTTGTATTTTTAGATATTTATTTGTAGTCCTTGGAGACCTGGGGCTCTATAAAACCTCAAACTAAGTGACAGAGAGACACTGCCTCGAAGGTAAGCTCCACTAACCCAACACATACAGTCAAACTCACTTTAGTTTATTATAAATATTAGAATTTTTATTGACACTTCTTTATTTTATTCTTTTCTATAGGATTGTTTTTGCTCTTTAATTAATCACACAGGCTTGTTGCAGCCATGTTGGTTTTCTCCTGGTCTCTTCTGGTGCTGTTGCTGGCCTCCTCCTCCTGGGCTGAGGTAAAGATT